TCCCCGTCTGCGTGAGGAGCAGAAGCAGAAAGGGAATTAAACAAATTCCAGATAAACAGAAGGATCATCTTCTAAACCTGCTGGCGCACTGACCTGTGAGACAAGTAGAGCCTGCTGTTTTATTGGGGGTGTTTTCCCACCTGGATCATACCGTTTCGTAAGTATCTCACTGGAATTCATGTTGGAACGAGAATGTGTGACCTGTGCTGCACCACAATCCCAGCAGGTACTGTCACACAGCTTGTGTACAGGTACAGTATACAAAACATTTCAGTGATGAAAGAGGGTCTTCAGTTTCTTTAAGGTTGCATACTATTTTTCTACTATATGGAAAATACGATTAAGAGAGATACTTAAAATCTGGATAAAACTTTTATTTGTTACTGAAGGTAATTTTTAATAAAAATTACTTAATGTATTGTTACTGAACCAGAACTTTTCAGCTATTCACAGATGGCAGGATTTTGTGGAAGAATACAAGAGTATTTTGTCTGCGAAACTTAGAACTTTTGCGAATATCCTTGGAAAAATAGACTGGACAAAAATGTCCCATTGCTATGTACTGTTGTGTTATTTTAGGCATTTTTACTCATTTGAGTTGTATACTATACAGTAGACCCAGATTAAATGTATCCACACTAGAATGTGCATGTTGCCAGAATGCAAGTTTTTGTCTTCTCTTTTAGCCAAGCTACACTTCTGAACAGTTAATACATTCTTGACAATGTTATCTAAAAAAATACATACAGTACCTACAAAATACATTATTCAATCAATTACCATATTAAGCTTGATAACTATAGACTGGAATAGCATGGAATGGCAAAAAACTCACATTCCTGAGTTTATGCAATGGTAACAGGCATAGACTCTTGCTGATTTTTTTAAATAGAATTTCTGTTCTGGCATTTACTTAGTGGAGTGGAAGAGAGAATTGTGTCCACCTGGGTCACCTGAGACCTTTTCACATAAAAGTTAATGCATATTTCTGCCGAGTCACGATGGTTGTGTGTGTGGTTACACTGACATCTTCTGGACTAAAGCACAGTAACAGAGTAAAAGTAAAATATTAGTGTATAACATTTCAGTCCTATGAGAAGTAATACTGTATAATCATTCCGCTTTCTCTTGCAACTAGTAAACGCCAGATGGCGCTTTAGTGGGACTACAGCCAGGAGCCAACGTTCATGAAGAGCTAAGAGGCTTTTAATACACGCACACACCGTAATTAAAATGTGTCAGTCTGTGCCAGATCCCAGAGGGACATACAGTATACCATGCTGAAGTGGCGAGATAGAGACGAGTACCCTACATTAAACTAAGCTTTTACACCCAATCGTTCTCCCGTGGTTTACACCTTGGGCTCCTGGTCCCACCTTAATAGGCAGAGCGGCGTATTGAGTCTGTCCCAAGTTGTGCACGTAAGAGAATACATGCGTCTAGAAACAAAACTATAAACTGCGAGTTGTTTTTAAACGTTTCTGAATACGAAATGTAGCCTCTAAATCCAAGGTATTTTATTTTATAACTTTGATTCCATTTGTTGAAGCAGAAACAATCAGGCTCTAACTGCGCTTCTAGATCACTACACTTACAGTACATGTATATCTAGCTGTAGTTACGAAAGACAAGCACAAGATGGGGATAAATGCATCCGATGGGCTGTTGAGCAGACGCAGCTCTGACGAAACCTTTCCTTCAATTAATCATATACTGTTTCTGAGCTGGAATAATAACTCCAAATGTGTCAAAACATTTTTTTTTGCAATCGTAAAAGGATGTCAATGCTAGAGTGGCTTTGTTTTTTCATTTTCATTTTGTCATTTTTCATTTCACCTTCCCCCACACAATGGTAATTTATACAATAACTTTCATTACATCTTATTTTAACACGCATTCTTTGACTCCGAACATAAAATACTGTTGAACAAATTATGTTCACCGTGGGGATTTAGAAGTTTTCATTATACTTTGAATACTATTATTAGTATTATGCGAATTATGTAATTGACTATATGATCAACAGAGTTCTGACACTGACAAAACATACTCCTGTGTCGAAGTATTCCCAAATGACAATTTTTGATTGCCTTCTGGCATCTGCGGTGGCTCCGGTTTTCCAGTGAACCATGATGTATTCGCATTCCGTTTGCCTAATGCGGCTGTCGGTATAAATTAATTCACCATATAAGAGATTTTAAAGCCGCTCGTGTATATATATGAAGAAACACGATTAGGGTTGTGTTACTATCTGAAATGGCATACGCCTATACAGAGTTTCTAACAATATCAACTATTTTCATTATACAACTTCACAACATGGGCACGGGTGGCACAGTCTGTAACTTTAAAGGCGAAGGAGCTACTCCAAGTTTCTTTGCGGAGGGGGATGTCGTTCTGGGTGGATTATTTCCTTTGCACTACATACCATCCTCTTATGTTCCTTCGTTTCAGAAGAAGCCCCAAGCAACACATTACCTGTAGTAAGTAACTTAATAAACATACAGTAAAATTAAACGTAAACAGTAAACTGCGATTACTATGCTTTCATGCTTGTATAGCCCGTCTGAACACTAAATGACAACCACAAACGATACATTTTGAAGTAAAGGCTCGTCAACCTTGCCACCCAACACATACAGTATTGTACTGTTTACAGGTTCTTCTCAGAACAAAGGACCAGACGCGATTAACTAACCAAGCGATAGCTCTATTCTTTATCAACCACATCAAAACCAAACACAGGTTATACACACACATGAGGAGACTGAAGGAACACGTACACAACTTT